TGAGTTCAAAATGAATTATGAAATTCAAATTTGTCAATTGTCATTACAGTATAATACAGAGTTTAATAATTAAACAATATTGGAATAAATTGGTCAAAAAATAATTAAGGGGGAGAGCCATTATCACCTCCGAGTACATCGCCGCTACATTAACAATATTATGTCAATATAATAATAACGCGACATAACTTTAACAGGCGGCGGCCAAGAAAGTGAAACAAATGCTCGATGAAAAATACGGTGGTAAGTGGAACGTGGTGATCGGAGAAACGTAAAAATAACGCATCAGGAAAATACGTTGATGTACATGTTTTTTGGCGGCAATCTCGGCATTTGAGCCTGGAAAAGCTAACCGCATCAACGAGACAACTAGTTGTTCCAAAAACAATAGAATACACAGTAGAAAATTATTTAATTATTATACAACAATAATACCGTGTAATATATTATAGTAAGTACCTATTAAATATCAATTATATTGGTTCTGTTACAATATCCACAACCCTTCAGCAAAGTAAATATGAATAATCATGTATATTAAGATTGGTTTTTTGGAAAATGTTATCGATGGCAGGTGGTCACAATCATCAAAAATGCACGTGTACAATTTATTTAAATCTTGTACTTGAGTGGGGCTATAATAGGTACCTACGGGCTACTACGGTACTTTGTACGATTACAATATATTCATAATATTCATAAAATGTTTATTTTCTATTTTATTTAGGAAGGCTATATGATATATCCTATATCTATTGTACACATGACCAGGTATAGTCAATAGCATTGTAGAGTGCCTACTCGGGCTACTCCCTACACTAAATACAGAAAAACACGGACAATAGCCAAAAGGTCTATTAGCATGTCTTTTAGAATATTATAATTTATCACCAATACAGTATACAAATAATAATATAAAAGACAACCTAGTTATACCTAGAAAATTGTACAATATTTTAAGAAAAATTACAAAAATATTTTAATACATTTTTAACTTTTTAAGAAACTACAAATCAATGAATCTTTTATATTACCTATATCATAGAATATATATAATTTTTTTAGGAATAAGACATTCTGTTCGATTATGAGGAAAAAATATAAAAATTATAATTTTCAATCACAAATAGATAATTTACAACTACACAAGTATGTTTTTTAAACTCTGATCACTTCATTATCAGAAGTAAAAAATTGTCAATATCCATTCAATGAGTCTCTATTGAAATATGAAAACCTGTTTTAACAACTTTATTTAGCTGCTGTTATAGACTTATATTCTATTTTTAGTATATGTTTTCAGTTAGGTAAGAAATAGTAGTAATAAAAACAAAAAACAAACTTATAACGTCAACAAATAACTGGAAATATTATATTACTTTTATACGGGTTATAAGTATCCTGGGGGATGACGATGTCGTCCTGCACTTCCCCCAAGTCCGCCAACAACCTCGCTTTGAAGTTGTTGCGTCTCAGTTCCGTAACCACTAACCTTGTTCCGTTGCACAGTCTGATTTTCGGATCGAGGTTCCGCAGCAGCATGACCACGGAACCGACCACCAGCGTCAGCCTGTACGGAGGAAGTCCGTCGGGCTCCAGCGAGTTCAAAAACTCGGTCGGCCGTCGGGTAATTGGCAATCTCGTCCACGTCGTCCGCCACCACCGCGCCGTGTCTATGGCGGTGTAGGTTCTCACCTTTTATTGATATTTTTAGAAAAAAAACTAATAAAAATTAGAAAATGAAAATGTTCCTAAACAGTTCAAACAAATCATAATATTTTGAAAATTTTATCGTGTATAGAAAATACAAATATAAACAATCAGTGAAAATGTCTTGTGTTTACGATCATTTGTTTTAGATTTACACCAAAAGCCAAAATGGATTTTGTCAAAAACCGTAAAAATTAAATTTTTTCCTTAAATTTTTTTTTGTTTTTCTTGGCGCTTTTGAAAACTGTTAGGAATTTTAAATTTTGACCTCCTCAATGCACCAACGATATTCACTTTCCCATCGAACAAGATACTGAAGTTTAAAATCGAAGCATTATTTCGACTACTCATCGTGTACACAGACACAAAAATAAATAAAAAAATAAAAAAAAACACACATCATTGTAAAATCAATACATTAATTATTCCACTCAGAATCTAAAAAAATAAGAGGGAATTTCTATTTTATCCAGATAAGCATCACGGGTTTTATGAGTTTTTTTTTCAAAATAATGAGTGGATTTAACCCAGAAAAGCAGCCCTGGTTTTTTTTGTGGGTTTTATAAAATATCTAGTGGGTTTAACCCAAAAAAGCAGCCTGGGTTTTTTCAGGCTGGGCTTTTTCATACCAACCCTTCTTCTTGTCGTGTCCGATAATAAAAAAATGCCAATAACAATTATATAAAATAACTAGCTGATCCCGTGCACTTCGTCGCCCGTTAAATGGATCAACTCAATACTACCTACTCAAACTTTGTTCAATTCATTAACGTGTATGGTGTTCAAAATTTATCTTATCTTTCCCGTTGCCTTGAATAAAAATTCTGAATCGCGGCAGTACATTATCAGGTAGGCAATCTACCTGCGGTAGATCGCGGACCCCGTGCTGTTTGTACGAAAGTGTATGATTTAACTCTAAAGTATCAAAGTTATACCAAGTTTATTTTGATGTAATACTGTGGATTAATATAATAAATTTGGTTGCTCGTAAAAAATCGCAACTCTTAAAAAAATTATGATTGTTGAACTCCTTTTGGGTGTAATTTTCTGCGGTAAGTGCAACTCTGCCACCCTGGTAAGCATTGTTCAATAATTCGATTTGATGCAAGCTTGTACCTGATCTGCCCGAATAACCAATGGCATCCAATAAATAAATGCTAATTTCTAATGTAGACTGTAACCAATGGCAACTATAAATAAATAAAAATAAAATTTCCAATTTCTATCGTGAATCTCAATGTCCCTGTTTCAGCACCTATTTAAAATGCGAATTTTGGCAAATCCTTTCTTAGCGCACGTCTATATTATAATAGCTATCTGTATGCCAAATTTCAGCCAGATCCGTCCAATGGTTTGAGCTGTGCGTTGATAGCAGTCAATCAGCTTACTGTTTTTTATATACAGATATGGTTGCCATGGTAATATGGACCCACACACACACACACACACACACACACTGACTTACATTCATTTTTATATATATAGATTGATATGAAATCTTGGTAACCTTAGTAACCATGGCAACCTTGGTAACCATGGTAACATGGACACACAGACACACAGACACACTGACACACTGACATACATTCATTTTTATATATATAGATTACATCAAATAAAATACTAATAATAATAATAATAATAATAATAATAATAATACAGAAAATATACAATAAATTAATTTGGTACGTCTAATAAATCACATTTTTGGTAACGTTCTATATGTTGTGTTGCGACCAATAAGCGGCCACCTCTATTGCATTTGTGTTTGTCAGAATCAGATCTTCCCTGGTGCATTGTGCTGTACTCATGGTACATGACAGGAGGTGTACCAACCCTGATTTGAATACTAAAAGTATATTTTATAAGACTGGGTCTGACCGTAGGTATGCCGCTTACCTATTTAACGAATCTTCAAAGTTTACTCGATAATGTATATAATTGACTTCCTCCTACTTTACCAATTATTACTATCTCAACTCACCTTCATGTCCCTGCTGCCCACACATCGTTCTGTCCATATCAACACCCCTAACTCCTAAGTTATCATTCTAATTTCTAACTACCTAGGTATATCGGATATACCTATGCTAATAACTAGGACTAGGATTTATATGCAATAACAAATTGTAAAATATGCACAAAAAAATTTTTATTATTTATTTCATTATTATTTATCATAATTTATAACTTAATATCATAACTTTAAATATTACTTATTAGTTATTAGCCTACATTATTATATGGCTACTATAATATAATATGTTGTTTCAAATTTTGTATAGTAAATGTGTATAGCGATGAACAGATTTGATAGGTAAGACTACGGCACGACCACTGTGTATGGGAAGCCCATCTTTTATACATTTTTAGAAACTTTTGGGGCAAAAAAAATTTGTCAACGGGATGGCGATAAAATTCATGATAATGTAACATCATAATAATATTATATTTTAATAACAGTCAACAAGTACATATAGGTAGTTATAAGTAAAAAAAAAAATGAAGAGAATTAATAGTAAAGTAGTAGTCCCGGTCGGAGCACTAATCGTATTTAAAAAGGATTGTAATAATAGTAATATAATACAACATAATTTATATTGAACACTATACCGCTCATGCTAACATAATATACTGCAGGGTGCAGGATGCAGGGTTACAGGAAGACCTGACAAATTAAATACCCTTAGCTCCAGTGGCGGATTTGATTCGTCTTCTATGGCGGGGGGGGGGGAATATCCATTGGGTCCAAAAATGATACTACTATTTAACCTACAGAGGAAAAAACATGATTTCATTACGGCAACATTGAATAGACATTTAACAGGTAAATTCACTTTACAACTTGACGAGAGCATATTGCAAATTAAGCGATTTTGCTTACATATGTTAGGTATATTTATAACAACAAAATCCACGAGGATATACTGTTCTACTCAAAACTAGAAACTTCAACTACTCGAAAAAACATTTTTGACACCTTAGTAAACTTTTTTTCTAACAATAACGTAGATTTAAAAAATTGTATTTCTATAACAACTGATGGGGCAGCTGCTATGACTGGAAAACACGTCAGACTAATAAAATTAGTAAAATACATGTTAAAATACTTGTTCCAAGTTTAAAGTGGACACACTGCATTATACATCGAGAAGCACTTGCATAAAAAAAAATGCCCAAAACATTAACTGACGTCTTAGCACAAATTGTTAAAATTATAAATTATATAAAATCAAATGCTTTAAATTCACGTTTATTTAAAATACACTGTTCAGAAATGGGTTCATTCCATGAATCTCTATTGTTACACACCGAAGTACGTTGTTTATCAAGAGGTAAGTGTCTTCAAAGAGTTTACGAAAATATTTACGAGTTATCGAAAAAAAGAGACACAAAATAATTTTATTCTTAAATAGTAAAAATTCAATCTACATACAAAGATTTATAATTATAATTCAAAATTGATTATTACTTTGGCATACTTAGTTGATTTTTTTAATTTACTCAATGAGTTAAATCTGTCTATGTAGGGCAATTTTTTCAACATATTTGATCATACAAAAAAAATTGAATCATTTAAGAAAAAACTTCGAACAATAAAATCTCGAGTATATTCTGGAAATATTGATAATTTAACCAACGTTAGTGAGTTTTTAGAAGAAGATTCTTCAATCAAGTTTGAAGACATTTCTGAATTAGTCAATGAACATTCGACAAACTTAGAAAAATTATTTAACCAATATTTTCCTGAGGATATTCGAGTAAATTATAAGTAGATTGAACAACCATTCGCAGTAGATATAATGACAGTAAATATTTCTACTGACATTGAAAATCAATTAATTGAGCTATCGTGTGATAATAAATTGAAACAAATTTTTTATGAAACTTCATTAGAAATATTTTGGGGACGTTTATATATGAACGGGCAATTACTCAGAATTAACAACTAAAGCAATCTCAATTTTATTAATATTTCCAACGACTTATTAAGCGAAATGGCGTTTTCTACTAGGTATGGAAAATTTGAAAACGTCTAAAAGAAATTGACTTCAAACTGAACCTGATTTACGGATAGCGCTTAGCAAATTGAGCCAAGGTGGAATTTATTATGTGAAAACAATCAAGGGCAAAGTTAACATTAAATTTTTTGTATAATATTTTTATTTTATTTTATATTTTCACATGGATTCTATACATTTATTAATAATAATTAAATATTCTACCTACTAAAATGTAAATTTTATTAATTCAGTTTTAATAGTACTACTGCAAAGCATTAAGCAGTTTTAGCTTTTTTACAAAAGTTTTGGGTCGCGAAAAATGTAGGTCTAAAAAAGTGGGTCGCAAGTCCAAAAGGGTTGAAGACCACTGATCTAGACATGAAATGACTTGTTCATGTGCGTGCGTGCGACCATAAACCAGATAAGAAATAACAATGTATTGTAAATGGTTTTGGGTCGCGGGTGGTGGTAGGGGAGTATACACACACTAATAATCATTTACTATATACACACAAAGACGATCAGTAATCACAGGCACGAAATAATTGCCAAAACACAACTCCTTAAACTATATACTACTGTTCCCATAGGCCCAAATAGGGGGGAGGCTTAGGGGTATTAGCACCCCCAATTTTAAAATTAGCACCCTCTAACAATTTATGTGTATATGTATAAAAACTTCACCTTACAAAAAACAAAAAACCAAAAACAGTTTATCATCAGTCATGAGGGTATCAGAGTATAATGAATGAAACAATGAACTCGACAATTGTCATTTTATCTAATTCAAATCTGTTTAGAACATAAATCATTATTTTCCAATTTTTCTACTAAACTTTTGGAATAACTTTTGTTCTAATCAATATTTATAATGTTTTTTTATATACAATTTATAGTCATTTGCACTACACATATATTATGCAAAAAATTATTTTTTATTTTTTAACATTGAAAATAATTTTTTGCATAATATTTTTTAACATTGAAAATAAAAAAATTAAAATTAGATTTAAATTATGTAAAATTTCTATTAAAAAAGCAAGTGATTTCTATTACCTATGTTGGACAAAAAGTAACATTTTTACAATTTTTATTTGATTAACGTATCTATAGATTTCCGTTAAAACTATTCATAATGCCTGGTTGAGGTTTTGTGATGGAGTAAGGACGTAGACGATGGAAATGATTCAACAATTTTAATAAGCAAATCGAACATAAACCAACAAAATTTGATTTCCGTTTATTTATATTTTTTATAAATTATAATAATTTTAGTTATAGAGTAACGTCTCAACATCGCGGTGGTGAGTGGTGTATACATCTATGGCTCAAAGTTTACTGATCCAAAAAGTGATGACAATTGACAGCCACAATAGAAAATATGCGGCACATTATTGTAAAATGTATAATATATCCATTGCTCCATAATCTAAGATGTTCATATATTTAAATCAATACATAACAATATTTATAATTTATATTATATAGTTATTAGTTATTGCTTTTTGAATATTATAACAATTTAAACTTTATAATATAACATAGAATCGCAATTTCTTGACATGTTCGAATAATTATTGAAAACGGTATAATCAACCCAATCTAGCGGTGAACCATAGAAGATTTTTTCGTGCTGACGGTTCTGTGTAGATTTCGTAGCCACTTCGAGGATCAGCACGAATTAATATTTTTCACACATTTTATTTTATAGGTACTCATTAGTCATTATTCACTACGAAAGTACATTACAATTTATTTTTACTAATTTATTAGTCATTTCTGTATTACGTACATTAGTCTGCAATATTTGTTTTCTATTTTATTAGCTAAACCGTCTAACATCCATAATATTTTCGATCATTAGTATTACGCTCGTCGCTCGCTGTAATAATCTCTAAAGGTGGGCATTAACTAGTTAGTTAATTTTTTAATCAACTTATGAACTTCACTAGTTTAATCTACCGTTGAAATAACTTAGCTTTTCTCAGTTGATTTAAATATAATCCACCAAATTCAAAATTTTTTTAATTCTTTGTTTTATGGTTTTGTACGTAGATAATATTATATTAATATTAAAATTAAAATAATCCAATGCTCTTATAGGTAATTGTACAAACATTTATGTGATTTTTATTATAAATCATTTTGTGTAGAATATTATAGAAATATTTTAGTAGATTAGATATGCATAAATGCATAATATATTATATGACCTTAAATTGCTATTTGATATGAATAAATTAGTATTAGTTAAATTATTAATTGAAATGTGTATTATATAGTTTAAATATTTAATAATCATGTAAAGTATAATAGGTATATAGTATACACTATACATTACCATAAAAGCTCAATAAAACTAATAAGTTTAATAGGTACTGAAAGGTAAAATTATGCCAAATACTTTTGCCAGCAGGGTCCATTTCTCCGGCCCCCCCAATTTGGAATTTTGAAATTCTGATTGGGCCAATCGTTTGTGCATCGTTTGTGCACGAATGTGCACGAAGCCCGATCGTTTGTGCACAATTACTTCCGGAGATATCGCAAAAACAAATTCGGGGGGCCGTAGAAACGGCAGCCCCCCCGATTTGGAATTTTCAAATTCTGATTGCGCCAATCGTTTGTGCATCGTTTGTGCACGAATGTGCACGAAGCCCGATCGTTTGTGCACAATTACTTCCGGAGATATCGCAAAAACAAATTCGGGGGGCCGTAGAAACGGCAGCCCCCCCGATTTGGAATTTTCAAATTCTGATTGCGCCAATCGTTTGTGCATCGTTTGTGCACGAATGTGCACGAAGTCCGGTCGTTTGTGCACAAAAACTGTGGAGATTATCCCTGAATCAAATTCGGGGGGCCACAGAAACGGCAGCCCCCCCCGATTTGGAATTTTCAAATTCTGATTGCGCCAATCGTTTGTGCATCGTTTGTGCACGAATGTGCACGAAGCCCGATCGTTTGTGCACAATTACTTCCGGGGATATCGCAAAAACAAATTCGGGGGGCCGTAGAAACGGCAGCCCCCCCGATTTGGAATTTTCAAATTCTGATTGCACCAATCGTTTGTGCATCGTTTGTGCACGAATGTGCACGAAGTCCGATCGTTTGTGCACAATTACTTCCGGAGATATCGCAAAAACAAATTCGGGGGTCCATTTCTCCGGCCCCCCCAATTTGGAATTTTGAAATTCTAATTGTGCCAATCGTTTGTGCATCGTTTGTGCACGAATGTGCACGAAGTCCGATCGTTTGGGCACAATTATTTCCGGAGATATCGCAAAAACAAATTCGGGGGTCCATTCCTGAGGCCCCCCGATCTGGAATTTTGAAATTCTGACTGTGCATCGTTTGTGCACGAAGTCCGATCGTTTGTGCACAATTATTTCGGGAGATATCGCAAAAACAAATTCAGGGGGTCGTAGAAGAGACAGTATACGGAAAAAGAACTACAATCATAATAGGTATTATTTATTTATTTATTTATTTATGTTGTATATCAACGGGTATATACCCTTTTACAAATTATATAAAGGAAACATATTAGATAAAAACTAAAAACTAAGTAAGTGTAGTAACACCTAACAAATACAGATAAAAATAATATAAAATTAATTCTGAATTAAAAGTAATAAAAATATAAAATTATAATTACATTATAAACATTTTTTTTTTTTTTTTTTATATTAATCAATCAATATTTTTTAATAATACCATAGATTTAGATTTAAAACAATTGCGTGAGAGAAAAATATATCTAAATGTATACAAATTTTATTAGCTAAAATTAAAGCTCGAGAGAAAAAAGAATTGGTACCACTATTCGTTTTATAATGAGGAACTAAAAATAAATCTGAACTACGTGTAATTAGATGTGGAATTCGAAAACTGATTTCAGACAACAATTCGGGACACATGATATTGTAATTAATAAGATCATAGACAAACATAATATCAGTTAATTTCGGTCTAAGTGAAAGAGAAACAAGGCCAATATAATCTTGAGTTAGATGGAGAGAGTCCCTAGATAATGGAATATTCGATAAGTATGAAATCCTTTTTAAAAATTTATATTGTACATTGTCTAAATCATTTATATATGTCAAGTATTTGCATGACCAGATTACGGAGCCGAAATCAAGATTGGATCTAACTAAAGATGTATACAAGGTTTTTAAGCATAACGGATTTTTGAAATCTTTAGTATTTCTATTAATAAAGCCTAAATTAACCTAAATTAATTATAATCAATATTTTTGCGATATATCTTTTTCCTTTATTCTATTACTGTTACTTTATAATATTTATTATATTGTTATTATTAAATAATATCTAAAATATATATATATAATTTTAGTCTAATAATTGTATTTAGATATACTATAGTCTATATAGTAATCACAGAATATAATATTATACAACAAATTAAACTAATATTTTTATATACAGAGTGATCATAACTTATTATATAACTTTAAACTTATATATTCTATCAATCATTTACTTATGCTCATTCGTATATATTTTATCAATAATAATATATATCATAATAATATAATATAATATTAATTGTTTAATATAATAATTAATAATTAATGTACCTATATTTTTTTCTGAAACACGCTTATGATTATTATATATGTATAATAAATATCAATTATTACCATCATATTATAAAACCCATAGTAAATATAGCTATATGTAAATTTAAAAAAATAAATGTCTTTGTAATAAATTGGACAAAGCTGGCCACTAACTAGTTAGTTTTAATTCAT